CAATCTATTGACTATAAAGAAGCCTTTCTTGGGAGGCAACCAAAGGTTTTGAAACTTTGATTTGTTTCTTTTCAGTTATTTTTATTTTATTTATTTATATTTTAAAATTAATCTCTCTTTATTTATTATTTTTCAGTAAAAAAAACCCTCCTACAAGTGACAATAAGGATGATGAGGAAGAGGAAGGGGATTAGAGCTTCTTCAAATTCATCCAACCTTTAGGGGAGTATTCTTTACCTTTCCTTTATTTGTTTTAACATTAAGGACAATGTTTAGTTTTAAGTTTAGGGGGTGTCTTTATTTATTTTTAAGTTGTTGGTCTCTATTTATCTTTATTTACTGGCCTTTATTTTATTATTTTGCATGTTTATTTAGCTTTAATTTTTAACTTTATAATAAATTTTTTTAAAAAAATTTGGAGATATTTTGACATCTTGTTTATGATTTTTCTTTATCTTAGGATAATATTTTGATTATTTTATGATTTTAGCTTTTGGGAAGAATATGGTTATGATTTAAGTTTGTATTGATATTCTTGTGATAGCTTTGTTGTAGAATGTGACTTCCAATAATTTACACACTATATTTTTTTTACTAAGAATTGTCTGTGATTTAGAAAAATTTTATATTAATAAAGTATAGTGTAGTTAAGGATTCTAAAATTTATTTTATTCTCTCTTGAGGTGAAATTTTAAATAACACTTAGGATGGGAGATGATTTAGGCAATCTTTGGGTAGTTTTAGCCTTTTCAAGCCTACCTTGATATATGTGTATCCCTAATAACCCTTTTTGAGCCTATTTTTTCTTTTCTTTGTAACCACATATTAGCCTAAGCCTTTTTATTTATTTCAAAATTTGAACCTTTCACCTTTAAGTATTTTGATTTTTTAAGAAGTATTTTAAGCTTAAAGTTAAATTACCGGAGAAAGGTGGATTGATAAAAAAAAGGTGATTTGTGTTAGAAATTTATCCCTTGTTCATAAGTGTTAAAAATAAGTTTTGGGGTGCAAATAAAAAAAGAAAAAAAAGAAATAAAGTGTGTTGTGCAAAAAAAATATTTATTTCAAGTCTAGGGGTGCTATAAATTTTTTTTTGAGCTCTCTATAGGTCTTAAATTGATTAAGTGCTTAGGGTGAATTTGATACTAAATATATCTTTTATCTTACCTTGACCTTAACTTTACATTATAAACCTAATAAAGACCTATTGATCTTTGAATAAGTGTTAGTCTATATTAATGGAGAGAGAGATAAAAAGCTAACTTATAGGATCTTAGGACTGATCTATGCTTGGATTTAGTATAAACCAATCCACATTGCATGATATTCTCTATAAGAGATTATTCACACATGCATAGAAAGTCTATTTGAAAGTGGGCTTTCATTTGAATTGATGCATGAATTTGAAAATTATCTATATTTTATCTTAATTTGAAATTGTTGGATAATTTTTAAGGAAAAATTGAGAAATCACAACTTAGTAAATGTTTACCTTAAGTGGTGAGTATTCTCGTCTATCACGCGGGTGACTCGGGTTCAATATCGGCAACGACGCCAAAAACTTATCAGTTAAAATTTTACTAGGCAAGTATATGTATCATGAAGATAATATAATGGCAAATAGAATATCAATTTCATAGAGAATTGTTTTAAAAATTTTACTAAGTATCACAATTAACACAATTTAATTTTATCCAAATAGTTAAAAAGTAAATAATTATTTAAACTAAAAATTAACAAAACTAATTAAGAAATTAAAAATCCAAGCAGAAATAAAATCTAATAAAAATGAATAGAAATAAGCCTAAGATTACAATATACCTTATACTTCATCTCAATTTTTCCTTTCTTTCTTTACTTATTTCAATAGATTAATTTGCTAACCTAGAGTTTTTAATTATTTATAAGAGTCTTCTTACTCGTTTTATAAAAATATTTATTTTAACCAAAACTTTATATCTCTATGTGAATAGAAATTAAAACAAATTTTTTAAGTTCATGCTCTAATTTTGGCTATATATGAAAGCAACACCTTTCCGTGACCAAATGATCACCATAAATTGAATCTAGACTATTACTTGTGGTATTGACAAGACCAATTTATTATTGATGCCATTTTAGCTTCTTGTTTAGAATCCAGTCGCCTCATAGCTATTACAAAAATATATCAAGGTGCATGGTAGAAACTCTTGTGGGGAAAAGCCATGCATTCATGATACATACATAATGAAAAATTTAAAACTTTTTCCTCAAACAAGATCAATCTTTATTTGTTTAATGTAGATTGTCTTAACCAATTGATAAAAGATTATTATACCTTTAAACAATTGATGTCAAAATCAAGAGGCCTAAGTCTCCTAAATATCAAAATTAACTTCCCACCAAGCTTATGTTGTTGTAACCCTTAAGCTATTAAAGCATCCAACCTTAACACATTGGGTGATAGGTGTTTGCTTCTATTTCCAAGCCTAATGTTAGCTAGAGAAGCTGGGAAAGGGCACTCTCGGTTTTCTTAGTTATATAAAGGAAGTCGAAAGGTCAAGAAAAGAGGAAGATGAGGAGATGTTTCCAATTCCTACGGAAAAAGAGGCAAGGTTGATATCCAAGGACAAGGGAGGAAGGCAGAGTTAACTTGCCAAGTTTACTCTTTAGGGCTACCAAATCCTTTTCTTTCTCTCTTATTTGCTTTTCAAGTGTTGGATGCCTTTAGAGTGCAGTATAAGCATATATTTGTAAGTAACCTTAATCCAATTAGGTTTAGCACAACTTATATGAAAACTGTCTTAATTTAATTCAACTCATTCAAAATAAATCTTTTTGTTTTTCTTGATTTTAAACAAGATTCATCATTGTTTCCAACTTTTTCAATGGAATTTCATTTTATTGAATTGATTGTAGTGGTTATAGTTGTTTTATTATAGATTTGAATATATTTTTATAAAAAAATGCATCTCTTGTTATAAAATAGTGTTAACCAGAATTGAATCAATTGATTCAATTATCATGAATCTATATGATTTACTATGCTGTGTATATCATATGAATATACATTTTATTTCTCTTTGATCAAATTTTCGAAACTTTAACTATAGCTTTACATTGCAAACATTCAAATAATCAAGATTTGTTTTTTTTTTCTCTTCATTGCTCATATGGGATTATCTTAGTTCCTTTTTAGGAACTCTATTCAATATGTAACAAGTTATTAATAAAACTTCACCCCAAAACCTTGTCCAAGGTTAGAATATGATAACATTACATTTATCATTTCGGTTAAGACCCTATTTTTTTACTGTCGCATAATTTTCTTGTGGTTTTGTAAGGTGTTAAACTTTACTAGATTATATTGTTAGATTCAAAATAACTTGGATTATAATATTTTCTACCTTTATCGATCTTAAGCACTTGATAAAATATTCACAATGTAATTCAAATTTTGACTTACAAATCTGAAATTTATCAAATACTTCATCTTTAGAATGTATCAAATACACATAGCAAAATCTTGAATAATTGTTAATAAATCTTACATAATATCTCTTTCTTCCTATTGCAAGTAAGCCATGTAAATCACATCTAATATTATGTAACAATTCAAGCATTTAGAATAATTCCAACATTAGAGCAATGAATTTCTAATGATCACAATAAGCATGCAAGTTTTATGATTTTTAAGATTTATCAATATCTATAATCAATTTTGAATTAAACATAACAAACAATCTTTTATAATTAACATGCTCTAAACTATGACGTCATACATCAAGAAAACCGTATAAACAAAAACAACCTTTTTATTCTTCTAAATATCAATAAAATGATTACAAAGATACCTTTATTTGTCTATTGGCAGAATAAACTTGTCTTTGCAATCATTCTTTGTAATACCTAAAGCAATTCACAATGCCTTATTATTTTCCTATATATTGATTTCAAAAATTATCACAATAAATTTTTATCTTGTTGTTATCAATGCATTTTTTTTTTTATTCTTGAAGAGACCTTGTTTTCATCATGGAAACATGCATCGTTTTTTTTCTTGAATTCTCAGGCATTTGCATGTAGTTCTTTCTTTTTTGTGGAGTTGCTTAACTATCTTTTCTTCATCTCATGAACATTTGGCACTTGAGTTTTTCTCATGTTCCTTGTGATAGTGCTCTTCAATTCGAAGATAACTTGCATGCTCCTCAGGAGACAAATCTAATTCTTAAGTTTTATGATTTGAGGTTCTCTTGAAGTTTTTCCATGATGATGACAATTTAGCACTATTCAACGGCATAACAATATATTCATGTGTATTCATTTTATAGAGTTTGAAGTTATCAAGAATCTTTTCAATTTTAGCAAATTGATTCATTATAGTTTTATTATCAGCCATTTCACACTTAATGAAAAAAATAGTTATAACCGCATAACTCAATTCCCACAAACTCAAAATCAATTCTCTTAATGTTTCACTTGCAAAAACTATTGTTAAATAAAAAATAAAATATTATTGGAACATAGGAGTAGGAAATAGAAAATATTAAGGAAAGATGTCAAGGTGTCACCATCACTTTTTTTTAAAATTTTATTTGTCCCTACCAATTATATGTTTAGGTGTTAAAAAGGGTTACATGTATAAATCTCAAAAATACTGTAAAACTCAATAATTGAATGCGTCTTGTACTAATTAACTAAGCATTCATCGATGAATGACAAGATTATCAATTTCTTAAGATCTTTAGAATAAAATAATATATAAAGATTATTAATAAAGGAATCAGAAATTGAATGAAGTGTACATTTTCACAAAATCAGAGAATCCTATTTATAAATAAATATGTTTGTTGGTACAGATATAACTTTCTGTATAAATATAATATATTTGAATAAACATACTGTTTAGATAAATATAACTGATAAAAAGTTTCTTCCAATTTTTTAATGTGAAATTGTATCCCACACAAATATTATTGAAAATGTTCAACACATATAACATAAAAAAGACTGGAGGAAAGAGTAGAACACCATATACAAATCAAATGATTAGAAGACCATTTGAATAACATTTACAAATAGACATTTTATTGCAAAAGCTATTAGACTGTCTCTGCTTTCGTTCTGATTTGTTTGCTGACAACTAGGTTTCACTCAACTCGTGAAGGCTCACATTACATACACATGAAGTCTTTCTCAAATCTCGTATGTCATTCCTACCCTTAGAAGCCTAGTGTGTGGTATCACCAATACTGTCTCCCCTTGCCTGAAGTTTTTCCTCAGGAAACTGTAGACATAGTCTACAATTATCTTCTTTATGAAGGATGAATTTTGCTTTGCCATCACTTCAGCTTCTCCCAGGAGGTAAACAACTCCTTCATCCATTGCTTTCTGCACAAACTGCATCTCCTCTTCAGCTCCCTGGATGGGTGCAGAGATGATTCTGCTTGACGAGTTTGTTGATTTGGCTGCATTAAACGACTGGATGGATGCTGAGGAAACGCGGGATGAATTGAGCTGGTTTAGCGATTCCTCGACAAAAACAGTGGATTTACTCGTTCCTTTCGCTTTTCCTTCATTTACCAGAAGAGTGGAGCTCTGGGGTTCCTCTGGAGCTGGCAATTGTTCAGCTGCCCTTCCTTCAGCAATAAAGCATTCATGACGAATGAATTCCTTCAACTTCTCTACCAATTGACGTTCAAACCCCTCAGCACTTCCCATTACATCCTGATAACCGTATCTAACAACACAGCGGAACATTCGATACTCTCTTGGCTCCACCTGTCTGAACAGAAAACGCTCCTCCAATGCCACTCTGCTAATTGGAAGTTTCTTGATTGAGACAAACACTAGAACTGAATGGATGGAAGGTATACTTGAAATGAAATGAGGAAATATGGGAGGTATGCCCTGAACGAGCTCTGAGTACAAAAGACCCATTCCTGGCATCCGCCTTATCCTTGGATCGACCGCCAGTTGTTTAATGAATTCATTGGAAACCTTATTCTGAAGCTCAAAATCGTATCTTTTTTGATGGACATAGTGCCATATTCCCATAATTGTCATTAGGACAAGGGAGAAGGCTAATGGAAGGTAGCCTCCTTGAACAAATTTGTACAAGGCTGATGAGAGATATACAGCCTCTACAACGCCAAAGAAGACACAGAAGAGGACAACCCACAATATGTTTATCTTCCATATAACAAGCATTATCAGAGTCATCATACCTGTTGTGATCACCATTACAGCAACCACGGCAATTCCTATAACCCCAAGAGAAAGAAGTGTTATCCTTAATTCCCTTTGGCAAAATGAAGATAATATTATAATTGCCTAATACTGAACATATAATTCCTGCCAATGGATGTTTAATTTTTAAGTTTCACACTATTTAGGAATTTCAAAAGAAAAAAAGTATGTAATTTCCATCCTGAAGATTCATTGTTATCTCCTCTGGATTTTGGCTTAATTAGTTGTCATTTGATGTCCAGGATTAGAAGAAGAATTAGATTGTCCTGACTACATGAGTTGTTAGCTTACCATATGCATTGCCGATCTTTTCTGTGGTCTTGAAGACAACAGTGACTATAACACAGGCAATCATGAGCATGTAGTTGACGTCTGGTATATAAACTTGACCTTCATACTTAACGGAAGTGTGGACTACCTTAACTCTTGGAAAACACCCGAGAGATAACGACTGAGAGATAATCGAAAACGCTCCAGATATCATAGCTTGGCTAGCAATAATGGCAGCAGCGACAGCTACTACAAATGTTGGCCAGTACAATGGATCTACATCCAAAGAAAATACGATTAATCCCAAAAATTGTTTTAGAAACAACCCTTTCCCTTATCTTTTAATTCAAGATTTACTTGGAATAGATTTGTAGAAAGTGTCCTCAACGTCATTAGGGTGTTTGGTGAGGTAGGCAGCTTGGCCACAATATGCAATGAGTAACGAAGGCAAGGCAACGCCAGAGAAACTCATCTGCAGTTCCATGTAGAATAATAAACAATTTGATGAAGAGCCAAAAGAATAATTAACAGTTTCCAGTTACAATCCAATAGTAATAACGGATTCCAAGGGTCAAGGAAATGACTGATATTTGCCAAAAAAAAATTGACATATTTCACTGATTCTAATAAAAAAAAATTATGGAGAATAACCTTTTTTGATAAGGGTATTTTAAAAATAATGATCAAAATAAATTTAACTGTTTTTAATCATATTTAACCATAACTTGACAAAAATATCATTAAACTATTTTAAATAAATTAAATCATTTATTACAATTTTTCTTTATTTGTGCTTCCGATTTCTCTGTCTCACCATCCCACTCTCTCTAATTTTGTCGATTTCTTTTCTTGGCATTTGTCTATTATGCTCAGCTCTCGATTTCTCTCTCTCATGCTTTTAGATTTCTCTTTTTTTGTGCTTTCAAGACACTAAACGATGGTTTTGATGTGCTTGAGTAAGTAGTTATTTGGAAAATTTGATTTTTAGGTATTTTGGATAAAATTAAAGCTATAGAAATGATCATAGATGTTTGAAATAACTTTTAATTAGATTAATTTGGGACTTAGATACCAATAAACTCAAGAATTTGAAATTTATAAACCTAGGTTTTCAAAAGAATTTTTTTTTCGATTTTTAGTCAAAATAGGTATTTTAAATAAGAAAATTTATGTCTTAATTTATGAAAATATGTTAGAAACACTTTAATTGGTGTCAATTTTTCAAAAAAACAAAAAGAAATGAAGAAAGTTGAGAAAATTTGAAATTTTAATTCGTAAGTAATAATATCATTTTAGACATTAAAGTGTAACAAAATATTTTTAAATATGATATGTAATAATATTTTCTCAACATGGTGTATAACAATAATATTTTTTTTCAACATGGCATGTAATATCTTTTTTTAACTATGGTGTGTAACGTGTTTTTGTGTATGACGTGTAACAACAGTATTTTTTTTTCAACATGACGTATAACAACCTAACCATGACATGTAACATGTTTTTATCCATGACGTGTAACAACAGTATTTTTTTTCAACATAGCGTATAACAACTTGACCATGACGTGTAACATGTTTTTGTACATAACCTATAATATCATGACGTATAATTTCATTAAGAGTAATTTTATTTAATTTGGTTAAAAACAATTAAAATTATCTTGAAGGTTATTTTTGAAAACATCTTATTTTTAAAGGTTGTTTTTAAAAAAACCTCATAAACTTACTTGAATTGCTCGAACACTGAAGTGACCCAGATCAGCAAACATGGCTTCCGTCCCTATTTTAAATGTCCTTACGGTTAGGCAAAATGGAGAAGGATGGCAATACAATAAAGAAATCGTCGAAGGGTAAAACTGCTGTTCACCTGTAATGCAAAGAACTACTCCACCAAGTGAAACCCATCCGTGCTTGCCGCGTCTCTTGAAGTATTGCACTATGTAAAACGGATTAAACGCACGTAACACACCCCACCCATAAGTGAAGAGGTTGTACAAGCCGATCCCACTGAGGAAGGCAAACCACAAGCAGATGATTGGGGCAAATGAATATCCCACTCTGTCAGTTCCGAATCGTTGGACAGAGAAAAGGATGATCAGAATTACTACGGAAATTCCCACCACAGCATCTGAAAATTCAATGGTCCTTACATCAATATCTAGAGGTAAGAATTTGGCTCAAAATGCCTATACAAGTAGCTACGTAGTCTTCTGATAATGGTGGAGATGTTTCTACCTTGTCCCAAGGATTTGATGCCACTCACTGCGGAAAGAACTGTAAAATGAAACAATTGTTTACTCCAGATTAATGAGCAGAAAATGGTCTAATTCACCGTTATACTTTGATCCTAAGAAGGAAGTATTATAAGTAGATATGTAGGGAATACCTGAGATGCTTGGAGTCAAAACCCCATCTCCTATGACCATTGAAGTCCCTAGGATAGTGACCAAGAAAAGCAAAACTTTGGCAAGTTTACTGTTCTCTATCTTTCCTCTAATCTTGTATGCCCGCTTCAACTGGCTGGATGGAGTGTCCAACTGGTAGTTAGACAGCTCTCTATCCTCCGGCTGTTGATTTGGAATCAAGCTCACCTTTAAATGTCGGCATAACAAAGAATAGAGCGCAAATGTTCCCCCTGGAATTAATCATAGCCCATTTCCTCGTAAGATGAATAAATTGAAGGTTATATTTCTCTCTTCTACCCGTTAAAAAATGTGCAAATTGACTTACAGACTTGTTAAAACCAAAAAACTAGGTGGCTTTTTGTAGAGTACTCTCAGGTATACATACTTGGGTTAAGTCAAGTTAAACATGCATGATAGAGTTGACCAAGTTGGTATGGGTGAAAACTAGTTGCTTAATTACCTTCGCCGTTGTCATTAGCTCTCAAAACGACGAATGCATACTTGAAAAAAGGAATGAGAATTATGGAGTAGATGATGAGGGAGAGAACCGCTATGAGGTTGTCCTGGTCGCCAATGCCATCAGGGAAAGTGCTGGAATATACATAAAGTGGGGAAGTTCCGATATCTCCATACACCACTCCAATGCTCTGAAATGCTAAACTCAATGTCGTCGTCCAATCTACCTGTAGAAAATATTACAAGCCGCAGTTAAAGCAGTAGTGTCAGTATAAGGAAAACAAAGAGAAAATTAAGCAAGGAAATTAGGTATGCAATAATGAGTAGAGTAAGAGAGAGAGCGACCTTGGAATGGGTGGCCTTGCTAGAAGAGAAAGAAAGTCTACCAGCCTCCAAATTGAGAGAATCCACACGGCGCAGCTTGGCCCATGAAAACTTTCGATCTTTCAGCCGGTTTTTATTATCAGCTTCTGTTGTCATCTCTATCTCCTCAACTTTCTCCGCATTCTCTGCCATGCCTGCGTTTCTCTCTTCCTTTGTGGGGAGAAATGAATTGATGGTGTAGGAATTTATAACCACTAAAGTCGAACGCCGACGCAAGCTTAGTTTAAAAATTTACTATCAGAAATGGATAAAAAACAAACAAACATTAATCTCTGTACTATGCTTGCACGCGTTTTTCACTCTCTGTACGCTGCAATATTCAATCTCTGTACACTGCTTGCACGCGGGGTTGGTGCCACGTATGTCTTTAACGCCCTTTTAGACAGAGCTGGGAACCTTCAATTTTTCTTCATCGGCAAGAAGAGAAGGTGAAACACTCTAGCATTTAATTTATTAATAATTATATAATTTTTTTAATTAAAAAAATACTTCCCTCGGCTGCAAGGAAACGGGTGACTGTGAGGAAACCAAATATAAAAAGAATGCATATCTCCTGTTCAATAGCATACATGTATCATGCATAACACAAAAAGTGCTTTTCCTGTTAGATACTAGTATTTATTCATTATAATTCTAACTCTATTTGTTGTGATGATTATTTTGGCTATATTTAGTTCAATAATAACCATTTTGCTAAATTCTGTCGTTAGAGCACTAGTTAAGACCACCAACTTGAAAATTTGTAGTACAAATGGGAACAATATCAGTTAGTTGTATTTAGAAATTGCATCGTTCATATATAAACCGATAATACTAGAGTTTTTAGATGATTATTGTTATTATTGTCACCACAAAATTTATAGTAATTATTTCATTCAAAACATAATAAAATGTATAATGATAATTACAAACTCATAATTGTCAGCGCAATAAAATTTATAATAATTATTTCATTCAAAACATAATAAAATCTATAACAATAACTACATTTTAAACAAATTAAAGATTATTTCAATACATCGAAAAAAATTTTCTTTCTACATAGATACACTCGTTCAATTCATAATACCATTCCAAAAGTCTAACCCAATTTCCGATCATTAAATACAACTCCATGAGCATTCAATTAAAAATGATATGCTTAATAATGATCAAAGGATGCTAAAAATATAATATGCATATATTAATATATATTCCTTTCGACTTAAAAGTCTAATCTATATATATATATATATATATATATATATATTATGAATGCCAACCTAACGAAATAAAGCTATGATAAATTAATGCCAGTCTTTATTTTGTCTTTTTTTTTTTAAGTCAAATGTACTTTTCTTGCCGTTAGCTTGCAGTTAGAGGGACACATTTTCTTTTAAAAAAATTTCTATCAAAAAGTTTTTTATTTTTGCTTGTAATGTACTTATGTCGTACCTTTAGGACGGGAAGAGGTGATCATAACTGAATTCTAGGAGAGCCCCCTAAAATATTTAATTAATGCATGTTTATTTATAGAAGAAACTTAAAGAGACGAAAGGAGAAAAAAAAAAACTTAGTAGCGGGGAAAAAGTCATGCCTTGTGTCATTGAAAGAGAATTCGAATAACAAAATCATTATATTATCCTGCATTATTGCAATAATTCATGTAATACTTTAAAAGGTTTTCTAATATCACTACAGGACAAGGCAGTTGAATTTTCAATCATAGGTGTTGGGCGGTTGTACATTCCTCAACTCTGGATTCTTTTATTCCTTGGAATTCAATTAATTTATTATTTTTGTAAAAGAATTATATATTAATTAATAAATTAAATATTCAAGTGTTATTAATCTATCTAAATTTCTTTCACAAAAGCCATTGACTTTGGGGATGTTGATGGGGGAATGGCCTTGAGTTTTAAACTCTATGATGATATAAACGTAGAAAAATTGTGGAAGGGGAGGAGCTGGTTGTGTTACCTATTTCAATTCTAAGATTTTGGGTCAATGTCCGTAGCATCTCACTTTGAAGTCCTCAAAGGATATTAGTTTTTGGGTCTCTGTCCAGTGATGATGCTACTGATTCAGAACAACAAAACAGCAATCTTTTTGTAAACAAAAGCATCAACCAAATACACCTCCAATTATTCAATTTTCAACAGATCAAACGCTTCAAAGCTTAAACTTATATTACGGGAGGCCCGAAAAAATAAAAATTTATAAACAAATTAATTATTCCCTCAAACCTAAATTTATTATTTTTATATCCATTATTTTTGTGCCTCTCATTCATTGAATATATAGCAACAAAAATGAATTTTTTATTTAAAATTAGTAAAATTACAGCTCTTTAACTAAATTTATCCATTATGGATGAATTTTGAGCTAAACGTTTTAGATTAATAGGCCTGTCATCACTGTATATCTCAAACATGTAGATTTTCTTTTGTTATAAAAACATGCAGAGTTAACTTATATGAGTATCATAATAACAAAAACCAAATTGAAAAATATCCAAGTGTCAAAGTCTTTTTCTTTAAAATTTTTTTTTTCAACCAAACCTTTTTTCCCCATGATATTTTAATTTTATGCTTATTTTCTTTGAAAATATTCCTTACGAAACTAATTAACAGCACAATTTCAGAACTTTTTCATTTTTCAAATTTAAAAACATAATGGAAAATTTCCAAAACTTCAGTTGATGGTCTCAAAATGTTCACATTACTTTTCTACAATAAATTTATTTTTTAATAAAAATTATATTTTTTTAACTTTCTATTTATACTTTTTTTAATTTAATACTTAAATTATTGAATATGATAATATGTCAATAATATAAAAAAAGTATACTGATCATGTTCCTATAAGAGATTGTTGCTCGTGATTTTAAATAGAAACTACGAGATAAATTGCTCGATATATTCATTTTGTAATACATATATTTACATGTTACAAAAAATACTTATTATTTTAGGTTTTGTTTATTTATGCTATTCTTTACTTGCATCTAAAAATTCTTATTTTTTTGTTATTAAATTTGATATATTTTTGTAAAAAAATAAAAATAATTTATCATTACACCATTCGCCTACAAAGATTAAAAATTAAGATCTTCCATTACGGCTAGGTACGTGTATGTTCCTTTCAAGTTTTTTCATATATTTGGAGAGTCGGATCTATATATTAATGCCAGTCGAATATGTGTTGGATCCAAATATAATTCACAAAAAAAAAATGAAAAGTTGAAGTAATATAGACTTAAATCATTTGACTTAGTCTACCTATAATGGAAATGGATATAAAGAAATCAAATAAGTGCAATAAGTCCACTAATATAAAAGTTCGTCCATCAATAATTATTCTTTGGAAAATACATTAATATTGCATCTGTCGTCACCTAACAGAGACAGCAAGTGTTTTTCACATTTTTTGAATGTAAATGTTGGAAAGTACTAGTAGTTTGTTGTACTTTCCAACATTGCTAATTGTTTCAAAAGGATGAATATTTTATAGATTAAAATTTAGGAGCAAGTTGAAGTGTAGAAGCAACAATGGCATAGGATGAAAAGGGAGTTTAGTATGGGATCCTGAAGAAGCAATTGCTTTTACGCAAAAACTGAACGGCTGATTGCACCAGCAAGCATGCTAATTGCAGCGATTTTACGCTGTCGCAGGTCAAATGCAAAAAATCACTTCACTGTCATTGACCTTTTCCAGTACAGGTGAAACCAAGAGGGCTGGGGTGGTTTTATTTTTAATTGAGAGGAGGCTTGAATTTTATTATTTAAATAAATGAACTATATATTAATAAATGGATCAAATACTAGAGTGCAAAGAGATGAGATGGTTTGTTTCTAATATTATCGTATATGTCTATAATTGGTGTTTAAACATTTTAATGATTTGCCCATTAAAAGGTGCTTCAACTTTATGCAATCTCCTCTATCAACAATATTTATTCAGTAGCAACTAGCAAAGCTATCTCACGCACCCCAGGGTGGGAACTCCTACCTTGCCTTCTAACCCCAACTCTTGCAAATTCATTGTATTGATCAAAACAATACTATCTGCGCTTTTCTTTTATATTTTTTATTTTTGAAAGTGTAAAATAAATATAAAAAAACGTGTTTGGATAGAACAGCAAATAAAATTTCCAAAAAATTATATTTAAGTGCGTTACAAATGATTATTTATTTTTATTTATTATTAAATAATAATAATAATTATATAAGCATAACTATTGAAATATAACTAACTAAAACTTTGTAATACTGATTTTTAAATTATTGGATAAATATTATCTTATAAAAGTCATTCCATGTAAGTAGGTTTTTTATTTAAAAATTAGATAAGTTTTATTATTATTATTTATAATGAAAAACATTTTTAATGAAAATTATTCCATGCAATTAGAATTTTTATTTACAAATTAGATATATTGTAAAACATATATATATATATATATACACACACATGTTCACATGAAAAAATCATAGAACACAACAAAAGCGAAAAGAAAATTGATATCATAACATTAACCTCCAACTATAAAAAACAGTTCAACTTCTTTTGCCGATTTCTTCCCAACCCAATAGCAACTCACAATGATGGTGATAGGATGCTCAGAAGTAAGCCTTCGTTGAGGACCCGAAAGTTTTCCCTTTATGAACAGAACTCTTCCTATCAAGGAGATAATTGGTCCCTCAAAATTAGAAAACTTCCAAACAATGAACGGTTATCATAATCTCATTAAAACTATCTTTCTAACAAATATTAATTATTTCATTAATTTGGAATATAAAAGTCAAGACCACTTAATATATGGAATATTTAGAATTTGAATTTCAAAATTCTAACATTCTCTCACCTGATCTGAACTTTTATTACACAATAATTTTCACAACACAATAGTCTACCCTATTTTCTTTTCTATTATAATTAAGAAAATGAGGATTCGAACCTGCTCCTTAGGTAGGGGATTATGCATCAACCAATGAGTCAAATGTTCGAATGCATTTACCCTATTTGATTAAATAGAAAAATAAAATTACATGAATCATGACAAGAAGTCCTCTAGTAAATAAGTATTATCTTCCATATATTACAATGCAAACTTTCTCTTTTTAAATAAACTTCATAAATATGATATGTTAGGGTAAAATTATCATTGATATTCAAACGACACCATTTTCATTGAAATTCAGAAAA